TATATATATATATCTACATACTATATCATACTATTGCTGTTGGGTCACTTTAGCGATTTCTATTTCTAATTTGATCTAATTTTACTGTTTTCTCTTTTAACAAAACTTTTGACATTATTTTTTTGTCAAATAATACACTTTGTTCTTTCACCATTTCAGGTGATTGTAGAGCTTGTCAGTTTAATAACACTGCTGTTCCCCTCTGGGTTGTGTTTTGGGTAGTGATAATTACAAGAACCTTTGTGAGAGATGACTCGCTAAATAAAGAATTCGGAAAATTTTTATAACCTGTTAGAACTGTCTCAAAACACACAGTAGTCTGATCAAAACTGTGTGCTTTGAAAATGTATTGTTTTTCAAATGATTAATTGCAAGGCTGAGGTTGAATTAAATTAAATAGAAAGAGACAAGATTTGACAGTAAATTCGTCCTCACCTTGAAAATAAAAGTTCAAACAATCCGTATAAACATAAACAGCTCCACGTACTGAACATCAATGCCTGAAGTTAATTATCATTTTGTTCATTTTCATGAATTTCCCTTTTTATTTTTCCATACGTGGTCGATTAAATGTCAGAAAGTATGAAAATACTGATGGTGGGTGTAGGTGTTGTTTTCAGCTGACACCACAAAGACGTTCAGAACATTATCCTGCGACAAATATCACGATACGCTTTACATTTAAGAATCTTTAACAAGCACTGGTCATGTTAGGGTGAAGTTTAAGTAAACACGTTCTTTTAAATTTCTGAATTGCAAACAATTTATTCATTTTTTTACAGAGAGTTCGACCTTATTGGACAGATCCTCCAAGTCTGTGTGAAGCGAATGGTGATGTAATCAGATCACAATAATCGAGATTTTGGATTTTTTTTTTTATTTCAAGGAGATTTAGAAAAGATACAATGCACTGAACCATCTCCTCTCTGTCTCTCTCCCCCTTTGTCCTCTCTGTGTCTTTCTGTCCACTGCTGCTGCCTCTGCCCTGTGTTGTGACAGGTTTTTCTGGCTGCTGTTTTTCTACAGCGACAGGAAGGGGACACTTTACTTTGATGAGCCTGGGGGCAGAGACAGAGTGTCTCTGTCCCTGCCTGTTTCTCAGTCTCCTGTTGCCTGTTTTACTTTGCTGTCCATTTCATCTCCGCCCCCCTCTTACTTCCAAAGTCAAGGGTTAAAACCCTGCAGCAGGAGGAGGACAGTGCAGATGTCTTTGTCCTGTTTTGGTGACCTTGCCTAAGTCCACGCACATTTCACTGACCTACAGTGTCCACAGTCCACAGTGTCTATAGCTGAGTAAACCATAATGTGTCGTGGTCAGCAGCCCAGCCTACTACTCTGAGCACCACTTTTAACATTGCTTAGTTTTTTTTATATATATATTTTGTATATATTGTTTCACATCAGTGGCTCTGTTTGTGCCAGTATCTCATCTGCATTTAGTTAGTTTTCACGTGTCAAAACTAAGTGCTGATCAATGTTACAGTAATTGTCCTGTTGCCAGACCATTTGGAAGCTACAGCCAAAATTCTGTTCATTAAATGTTTGAAGATGCAACATCTCATATGAACCAAACACCAGGTTTCCCTCCACTCTAAAATCGCTTCGTCTGTACAGTGCACAGACACAGAGGTTACGACTCATCGTGATCTCCAAACACTGATGAAGTGAAAACTACACTGAAGTTAAAGCAGTACTTGGGAGTTTTTTAACAAACAAAAAAAACTTGTTGTTCTCTCATTGTGTGTTGGTGCCTAGTCACCCCAACTCTGACAACATGGCTGGCACCTCCTTCTCACCTCTTTCTCAGGTCTCTTTCCCACATGCACACATGCCCCAGTCAATTGTTAGAGAAATTGAAAAAGATTTTATGGAGGTAGAATCTCAGAATTATTATTATTATTATGAGACTGACCGAGGTCATTATTATAATTTACTCTATTGCTGAGTTTTACACAAACGTTTAAAACCATGTTTCTCTCTCTCTAACTCTCTGTGAACCCCCTCCCCTCTAACACCCAGCAGCTGCCCCCTCTGACCTCCGGGCAGTGTTTTCCTCCATGTCACCACTTACTCACAAATTGCCCTCATATCACTCACAGACTGAGCTGCCTTTGGATCAGTGGTTTATTTTGCCACCATTCACCCAGAACTGGGTCCATCTGTCTGTTGTCTGATTGATTCCGTCAAAGACACTCCTTCGTCTTTCACACAGCTCAGTTTTTCTAACACCTGTGCAGATGTTGGCTCAGGTTCAACCTTATTACTCTGGTCTACTCTCTGTCTGTTCTACCTGTTTGTAACAAGTTTTTTTTTTCTCCTGCCATTGTTTTTTTTCTGACAGGCACCAACGTCACTGAAGCCAAGAGGATCCTGACTGAGAGTGGCCTCCCCATCACGGCTGCGGAAAACCTGGATGACGCTGCCAGGAAAGCAGTAGCAGCCATCAAGAAGGAGTAGAAGAGCATCAGAACTGAAGTGTTTGTCAGGACATTTCTCACACACTCTTCCACATGTCTTTTTATTTTAATTATTTCTGTTGAGCTAAAATGCTTCCAAACCCGTGGTGCCAGCTTCACATCTCTGTCACTGGTGCTGTGGTGAAGGTTCACCTCATTTTCTATCCTCACATCTTCCAGTGAGAAATGCTGTTTGGGCTTCTGTCACCAATTTTTCCTTCTTTTTGAATTTTTTTTTTTAACACTATGAAGGTGAAAATGTTCTCATTACAGAACATCATGACGTTCTCGCAGCCCTTTTGGAGACCAGGTAAAGCCTAGTACTTTGTGCATTCCAGTCCTTGAGGCAAAAAAAAGTTTTGTTTTTTTCCCAATAACATCATTTCTCTCCTCACATTTGTGTGAAATATTAATTAAGAAAAACATCTTCCATTATCATCTCTGCTTTTTAGAAGTAGAACCACTGTGAAATCAGCTCATTTGTAAGATGGGAGTGTGTCTGGTGTGAAGTGCCTCAGGTCTGCTCAAAACTCCAGTCTGTTGTAAATTCTTCACACACGTTTCACTTTAAGTGATAGCGATCCATTATAATAATAATGAGAAGAAAAATGAAAAATAAAAAAATAAATAAGTGATGACATTATGAATTAAAGAAGGATCTAACAGGTGACATCATAGACTCTAGCTTTGAATCCATGCCCATATCAGGAGAGTCCGTCGTCTCCAGCTTCTGCAGTCCAAGCACGTTTAGTACAAAAGGGATGAAAATACTCTCATTAGTTGATTGACTTCTATTTTCATGATTGTATATGTTCATATGTATACAGTGTAATAACTGTGTATATAACTTTAGAGATTAAATCAACCTTTTACAACTGTGTTTTTCCGTAGTTTCTCTGCGTACGTTCCATTTTTATAATTTTTCTTATCAGTTTAAATCAATTTTCACTGTTGAAACTGGTGCCTTTTAAGGGTCAGTTGAGTGGACCTCCACCTGGACCACCACTTGAGAACCCAGTTCAGAACCCGACAGGAAGTGGAAGTACAGCCTCAGACAAAAGCTCAGACTTGATCACCCTGTAGCTGGCCGACTTTGATGAGGGTGTTTTGTGTTGTGAGACCGAAACACTTGATGAGTCAAAGTGAGTCATTGATGTGTTCAATGTTGTTGTTTACCTACTATGATGATTGTATGATTGGCGTGTGAGTGTGTGCGTGCATGCGTGGACAGGACCTGCTGTCTTTGTTTGAGTCTGTGTCCTGTCAGACACACTGACTGTGTGATGGATTATCTGTCAGGCGTTTTGAAAGGAAGACCAGGACTAAACCATAAACTCCATCTTTACAAACGCACACAATGTTTCTCATGCATGCAACAGTGAGAAAATCTGAAATTTTTTACTTAGTTGCAGTTGTTTTCCATGTACTGGTGAGCCCTAAAATGTATTAGCTAACTGTTAGCCTAACTAAAGTTAACCTAGTACCAGTGTGGTACTTGATAGGTTTACTGAGAAGCCGTAACTGCTAACTATCTGTGCTGGAAAATAATGTCTGGTATCAGTCTTTATTGGTTTGTAGTAGCAGTAACAGTACCAGGAACAAAGTTGAGACACCAACTCCTACCACCAATGACAAACGGTCGATAGAATAATGTGGTGAAAATATTGACTAACTAATGTCATTTATTTATTATCTACTAATTCTGTCTGTCCCTATCACCCAAATTCATCTGGAGACACACACATCCACAAACCCTGTGTGTCTGCACGTGGCGCCTCGCCCGCCGTACCAGCCGTAGAAATAAGCTGAAGGGTTCGATAATTGCCTTATTTCATGCTCTTCCCTCCGTGTGTCAGAAATATCCTCGCTGATGGATTGGACGGAGGAATTTAAGGCCTGTTAAGGCAGACTTCTCGGGTCCTGATATTGTCTAATTCGGCGGCGAGCTGGAGGTCACAATAAAATGTGCTCACTGATTTACTGGGCAGAATTAGTGCCGCTGCTTCATATAAATATAGATGAGGAGAGAAAGAAGCTTTGGAGGTCAGGCCGAAGACTAGAGTCATGTAAGGCAGGTGAGAGGAAGGAGCCTCATCATCATCATCGTCATCAGTGAGCCTCTGGGCAGAATGCTTCTTTAATTAAAGCTGCAGTTATTATCATGCTGGGCCACTTTTATTCTTCACCCTTGCTGCTGTGCTTTGTTTGGGCTCTGACAGAACATGGAGCTTTTTTATACGTGGCTCTGAATCGATGTCAGAATGGTAATGGCCACTTTATGAAGCCGCCGTTGTTGTTTAACGATGAAAACGCCTTCCGTCGCAGCACAGGGTCAAGGCTGTCTCTCAGGAAGTATTGGATATTTACTGAGTCATTTGGAGGCGACAGCTACGAACATATTGGTTTAAACAAACAGTATCAGTGTGACTCACCTGTGGCTGCTGCACTTTATCTGTCTGGGATGATTATTTATTTTTTACAACTTCATAGCTTTTACACTTGGCAACCAGCAGGTGGACTGATAAGAACCATAAGCATCTGGGCATGGGCATTTGAAATAGATTGTTGTGTGTATTTGTGTGTATGTGTAGAGGTGGGGGAGGGGCTACTCGTATGTTACTAAAGTGTGAGTACAATTATCTGCTCTCTGGAAGTTTTGTCTCCAAGTACCTAGAGGTAAAACTTTGTGGAGATTTTCCAAGTGTTGACAAGAAGGTTCCCTGAATACAGTGGACGTACCAGTGTGAAAAAAAATAGACTGGGTTGTCATATGTCCAAGCTTTTGTTCATATGCCAGCCCTGCTCATAATACTGCTGTAGAACTGAACAGTTTTAAAGGACAAGACAGAGGTGTCAACATTATTCTTTGTCTACTTGACTAATGTAGTAGTTATGTCATACTACAAAATACTGTAGTTTTACCTTGGCTCAGAGACAAGTCCATCCATCCATCCATCCATCTATCCATCCATCCATCTATCCATCTACCCATTCATTCATCCATCATTTCATCCATCTATCAATCCCTCCATCCTTGCATCCTTCCATCCAATCATCAACACACACACACAGTCCTCCATCGTGTTGTTTGTTTGTGTGTGTGTGTGTGTGTGTGTGTGTGTGTGTGTGTGTGTGTGTGTGTCTGTAACTGAAGGACATAGAATCGATCTACATTACCTTGGATGTCTGCAGAAAATGAGCGGCGGTGTCATTTGTGCTGTGTTTATTTTTAAGCAAACAAACTCCCTGTTCTCTATGATATTTACTTGTCAGTCTGTGTTTGAGAAGTTTGTAACAGAAAAACAAACGTTGTTTCGATTCAGCCACACAGTTCACAATACGATAAAGGAATTTATATGAAAAGGTTTGAATCTCCTTTATGTTTCACTGCTAACTAATTGTTTAAATGTGTGTTTTCTCCTACGTCCAGTTTTTTCACGTTTTCAACAATTCTCAAGTCTATTTTTGTTTGTTTTTTATTATATTATAAGAAAGAAAGAAAACCTTTTCCTCCCACAGCGTCTTCCCATCACCCTGTCATTCTATCGCTCTCTCATGTTTCCTTCTCTCAGTCACTTCTCTCCCTCCGTGCCTGCTCCTGTCATTCAGGCGTCCATTTATTTGTTCTTCTTTTATTTAATTCCAGCTTCTCTCCTTTCGCTCTAACACTGTGATTCCTGTGATTATTTTCTCCGTCCATTCATCCTTCCGTCTCCCCCCTCCTCCCCCGTGTCTCTGGCTGACACATTAACGATCCTTGATTCCTTACTGTTCTCTCACACTGGTTAGTGCCTGTCTTTAACTTTTATTTTAGCTTCACTCTCACGTTTACTTCCATTTAAAGAACACAGTGAAGGACAGGAAAACACTCTCCTTTCACATGTTCAGCATGTCATCTGCAAACAGGCGGATGGTGGGCCAGAACTGGACCACAGGCCGCTGTTTGAAGGCACTTTTGTAAAGGATCATCAATGATCTGTCTTAATACCTAAGGTATTGCAGACTTATGCAGGTGTTGATTTTCTATTTTTAGGTGAGTTCAAAGATTTGTGTTTGACAAGTCAAACACAAATCTGACAAGTCAATATGGTAATTAACGTGTAACACACACGAATATTTCAAATATTTAGGTCCTATATTACTATTGCCAGATTACAATATACTTATATTATGTTCCAGCCCTACAAGGGTGGTTTGTGGGCCAAAAGTGGCCCGCCAGCCGGGTGTTTTCTATCCCTGGGTTAGTGTACCTGGCAATTCCTATTTTTCTTTTGTAAGCTTAATTTTAGGTTATAATGTTTCGCTTGTAACTGTTGTCAGTATATTTTTTTAGTCCTTTGATGACCTCTCTGACCTCTGTGAACTTAGTTCATATTTTTGTTAAATTTCATGTATTTTTAAGTAAAATCCTGACACCTGTTCAGTTGCACCCCCTCTCCCCTAATACCTGTTGTAGATGTGGTGTGTTGGTCAACGCTGCTCCTGTGTGTGTGGGTGTGTGTGTGTGGTTGAAGGTGACTTTGACAGTTAATAGAGACAACAGTAGTTTCTCATTGTCCTGTTTATTTTCCTCAGCTCACACTGAATACATGAAACCATGTGTGTCGTCTGCCATTGTGGTCAAATGGCTTTGAGAGGCTGAGGCTGAGAGCGGGCTGGTGTCTCGCACCTGGTAAAGTGGGCTGTCACCTGTGATTTTAGCAGCGATACAGAGCAAAGCCGTAATGGCAAAATGAAAACCGCTGTTCCTGTTGATGTGCTCACACACAGCCGGCTTTAAAGAGACGCCGGACTCAAGGTGAAGTTGGTTAGGCATGAGCACAAGAGTGTGTCTTATCTGGAATATGTCACTGAGAGCCGCAGGCTAACAACAGTGCTAGTGTTTTTATGTACAGCCTTTGGATTTGGAACAACAGCTGCTTTACTTTAGAAGGAGAGTGAGAATCATGATCTAAATACATTGAAAAAAAATTTTAAAGCAGAAATAGCAACATGGATGTTCTGTCTTTTATTCATCATGTAAAAGTGTTACCAGAAAAGGTGTAACTTTTCTTTTGACATTTATTAGAATATAATGGTTATATAGTGAGAAAACCCTAACCCAAAGCCAAATGTAATATAATAACATGGAACTGTAATATTCAGATTCAAAATCAAAGTAAAGTCATCTTGTTGTTATTGACTCAGTGGAGGCTGCAGTTAGTGACATGCTGTGTTTCCTTCTAAGTTACTGGTTCTAGTGTTTGTGGTGAAATCTCACACATCAGTCCAAGACAATGATGCTGTTCTGCAGCCGCAGCAGAGTTCAGTATCTCTGTATGTTAATGGGAGAAAGGGAGCGACGGTGGAGATGAAAACTGGACACAGTCTCACAGATGAGAACATTATCTTCGTTCCAAATGTGTTTCAGACACTTCCTCTGCTGAAATTCTCCATTACCTGGGTCAATAGGGGTCAATGCAAGGAAGCATAAACACTCACGGGCCGCATCACCGCCTACACACACATATAAATATGTGTGTGTGTGTATATATACACGCAGAGCATAGATGACACTGGCTGTCAGCCCATCTGATTGCCTGTTAGTGTGTCCTTTTTTTCCGCCAACATCCATTTTCCCTCCGTGTCAGACACGGGCGATATTAATGAATGCACAATGACAGTACTTACGGAGCAGAGCAGCTCTCCTGCCTCTGCAAATTTACCCACAGGTCACTTTGGTGCAGGAGAAAAAAGGAAGCCATGGAAACAAACAGTTGAGGGTCAGAGACTCATCTCCTTCTGCAGATTAAAATCCTGTCTTTCACAGCGGGGCGCTATTATTCCGACTGATATTTGGTGCTGTTCATGCAAATAGAGGTGTGGGAAGGAGGGAGGCAG